CTAGCTTATAAGTAGACACAGAAGCTCATTTTCAAGGCCTAGCTTTACATTACATTCCAATCGGCAACTCACTTCCGGTTTACAAGCAGCTTCACACTCGCTAAATATAAGCAACAGTTCAACAAGTTATCGATGGCGGTTCGATATAAAAGGTATGTTAAAACGATGATAGAATATTCCGTGTCTCGATGTCCTTACCTCCTTCTAGTAATGTCCTAAAATATATATAACAGCAGTACTCTCTTGCATTACGTAGTTGATCCAGTTCTTCACATAAACTTGTTGATCGACAGTTCTTCACTTAAGAAGTAGTAGTTTTAAATAACTAGTGACATGCTTGTATGTTCACTACAGTATCATACATTACAAAGGCGAGCTATCGTGTTGCTTCAGGTCCGCTACATTGATAAATCACGGGCACTGTGTGGGCTCGTTAGAGTGCATAAGGAGTTATAGGGACCACCGAGTGGTCAGGATAAATCAAGGTTAGCAAGAGGAGTTCTACAGATTGTACAGTATAGGTTGAAGGAGAGTTGTCTGAGCTATCAGTAGCCAGAGTACAGGTAGTGTGGTCGAGACCTGTGTGTGTGTTGCTGTGGTGGGTAGTGAGAGGTCAGCGAGGGATCGGCCGCATTTGTATACATGAACGTTCTGAGCGATCAGTAGTGGGAGCGCTAACTTAGAATAATAGTATATGTGTTATTGTTTTATACGTAGTTATTTTGCATTAAGTGTTACTTTGGTACTGCTTTGTATATGTCCCCTGTATATGTTTACTGGTACAAGACGTACATGATCACAAGCAGTGATTGATTTTACATAGCAATGTTCAAGAGGTAGATTAACTTGTCTGTATATCAGCATCTTTACTAAAATATTAATACACCCCAGTTGGGGGAAGGTATACTCGCCGAATTATCCAGTGTGATTGGTACGGACCATAGGGGAAACGTCACAATGTGGTTGTCTAAGTCGTTGCTATCGTTCCCATGGTTCCTCTTACGAAAACGACTTTCTGACACATAGTTTAAGTTAAAATTAGCTCTCTTTGTACTTTTACTACTTTTTTCAGCTGTTAGAAAAAACTTCCGAAAAAACTCCTTCCTCCAAAGATATATAAAAAAAATATATAAAACCACATGTTCAACAGCAGACATTCTTAAGTTAATGTCATGTTAATTTTTGATTTATTAAATTCCAGGAAGTGGCACGCAAATTTAATTGGATAATGGATATATGAAACTTGGACTCGTCAACAGCGATTCCAATTCGGTTCAATAAAATCTCCACTTTATTAATGAGAAGTTCTTTTACCACAATCAATAAAATGTGTATGTGACGTTTCCATGACTAGTACGATACATGTATGTACACTGCCACCTTCATCAGTCAAATTACCAATGAAGCGTATGCACACAAAGGTGTAAAATGTGTACGAGTTGGCCATAAAATCGATGTCGATTTCGGCTACGCTGGAAACGTATGTACAATAGTTGTTTTATATGTACCGAAATGACTCAATTCAGCTACGCTTTGTTAACACTTTGGGCCTGTTCGTTTATGCGGAACAACCGGTTTGTCCGTTTATAAATGTAACAAATTCGAGTATTAATCCTGGCGGACCTGCAAATGTGTATGCAGGCTTTCCAAGGCTTTGTCAAGGTTCGCCTGAAAGCAGCATCAGATTACTAGGTCCGACCTTATTTAATAAACGAACAACTCTGGTCCGACCGGTTTAACCGTTTAAACGAAAACGGCCCAGGGCCCAGTTGTTCTTGAGTTTTTGAGCCCCCTCTTGTCGATGTAGAACTGGCCCACTGCGGCGTATCCAGATGGATTCCTGTATCTGCCGCTTGAACTGATTGCTCTCTCTGTCCATAACTTTGGAGTTATCCCAGTCAATCACATGGTTTTTCTGCGTGGCATAGCCTGTGATTGCCGATTTATTTATCTGGGACTCCGACTGTTTTCTTTCAGATCTGGTGTATTTACTACCTTCTTGGGTTTCTGTATCTTTCCGGTGTTCACCAAAGCGGACCCCAAATCGCCTTCCAGTCTCTCCAATATACGACGCGTCGCAGTTTTTGCATCCGATTTTGTATACGCATTCTGCGACGTTTTCTTTATGTGTTTTATCCTTAAGGTGTACTAGGATATTGCGAAGCATCTTGTGGGGCTTCATGGCTGTTGCTATGCCATGACCGCGATATATCCTCTGGATGGTTTCGGATATATCCTTTATATACGGGATAACCACTTGACCTTTGGTTTTGTTCTTATCCTTGATTGGACTTTTCTTGTTCTTCTCCTTACTTTGACACTGTTTTTACCCGTTTTATGGCCCATTCCGGATATGCACATGTTCTCATTGCCCTATCACATCGCTAGGGCAATGAGAACATGTGCAATGTGACGACAGATGTGCCTTTTATATTGCACAATTCTGCGTTATATGTAAAGAACACCGTGCTTTAATATAGGAGTGTATTTCATATTTAGTTTCCATGAGCATCCTTATAACCATAACTAATTTATGACTAAAGCAATATCAACCAGTTCAGACTAAAATGCTGTCGCTTCATAATTCGTGTGTCTTAATCGATTAAGCCACTTCTTTATTTGGAATAGACCAATAAATATTGACGACGGGGACATCGAAATATTTATGTCTTACCTGCTCCGGACAACATCTTGACTTAATCGATTTAGCCATTCGTATTTTACAATGCTTATTTTCTAGGAATATCCTAATGAGAAATGACGACGGGATCAATATTAACACAGATGTAATATGTATGGTCTTCCTCGACATTATCTACATCATTGCTATTATGCTGATAGAGTCCCATCCCACCCTCAAACGTCTTAATTCTTTTGACCTCAATTACCGCTGATGACTTACACGAGCAAAATGGCGATACGGTGCAGTGCTATGTTTATTTGTCTGTCAGTCTGCATCTACAAACGAAATGCTTCAATAGGTTCCAGGTTTCCTAACCATTATATTTGGTGTCTTGTCACCATATTTCTTTATTTATTTCATTATTATCATTTCCAGGCTGTTTAAATCTACAAATATCATCACTACACCAATCACCTTTACCTACGACATTGCGGTCCTTCCCGGGGTATCATGATTTGACACTAGAGTACGTGATCCTCTTTTTTTACAAACCATTCCAATGTATTTGAGGTGACACCTGTTATCAGCGGCTTTATATTAACCTACTACATCTACGTCAGTACGTCCTTTTCAATGATCTCTCAACAAAAATCCGTCGACTTTATACTCAGTTCCAAAATGCTTCCTATCTGTCCTCTTTCTCTCCTTTCCGGAATATCTTAATCGTTTAGTGTTGCTGATATGGAAAGTGTAGATCTGAGATTTGGTATGCTAACATTGCTACAGTCGTTTGTTTAAAATAGCAAGGCTCTTAGTCAACTGTATGATATTGATGAGAGTCCCTCAAAGTACGCTTTGGAGAAAGAAGCAACAAGTTAGATCCTAGTTCCATAATGCTATTATTACAAAAAAACACAAAGATTGTAATAACTTATCAGAAGTTTATTGAATAAGACAACACAGGTTTTTGCAAGACGTTAGATTAATTAATTTAAAATAAATAATTAACAGGAAAAAAGGACTGCTTAACCAATTACTTGGCGCCCGATCACAGTACAGGGGAAGAAACTCTGTACAGAATAAAGTCGCATACAGGGTAACTTTTATGATATTCGGGAATTCAATGTTTAGAAACTATTGATGTTACCTCCAAGATGCCGTATAACCTAAATGAAATTGAAAAAAATGAACGAAATTTATATAGTTAACAATGTAAATACCACTGTTCAAGCAGATTTCCCTGTGGCGATGAAAACACGTGTCTTGTAAATGACACAAGCATGGTAAATTATTTCCTTATTTATTCCAGAATAGCGAATAATGAATAACAAATAATTACCTAACTTGACATTGCTAATGACACAGCGCGTTCTTGGGTTTCAAAAGAATGCGATCGGGCGACTAGTGCAATAGTTTACATGTTAATGACAGAACCTATTCACTACCGATTACTCTCAAATAAGACTGTTACATAAACAGTACATTTGGGAGAAACACTGTGCGTCCATATTTTTTAATAATGAAAAACCAATGATATTTTTATATTTGGTTTGAAAAAAAATGATAAAAATAGTAAGATGCATTTTACGGGGTTTGCGTATTTTTATGCTTATAGTTAAACAAAGAAGTTGATTAGAAAAAATAACTCTTACTATAATACAAATATACACAATAGATTAAAAATAAACAATTATATATATATAGAATAACAGAATAACATAATAATAATCCAATATTAACCGCTAGGCGTTTCTGCCTTCGTATGCTTCTTCAGGCGGACTCCTAGATACATATATATTTCGCACACATGTGATCAATTGATAATACAAAATTTAGCAAATGTTTACAACATCAAAATTTTGACCAATCAGAGGCCTCAATTTCGTTACCATGGCAACTGAGATTTTCGAAACAGTGACAATTGTATTCGTGATCCCTCAAAAATAGTTCTACAGTATTTACAGTAAACCCATTACAGATTAGTCTACGTCTATGATTATTCATAGACAAACACGCATACATTGTTCTCTATAAACGACTAAAATAATTTGAATTAGAATTGAAATTTACAATACGATAATTGTTAAAAAAATAATGTACATGTATAATTACATGGAGTATAAAAGATTTTATTCTGAAGAGACAGAGAAAGTGCTTTTTATTCACAGTGAATCTTCGATTTTATTACTATCTTCATTACCACCTTAAAGTGTGTGCATATATCAGAAACCGTGCTGATGTAAAAGTAAGTTATTTTCATATCTGGTTTCTCCAGCGAAGTAAACTTTAACTGCTTGTAAATTAGCGTATACGCAGCGTAAAATGGTAAGTGGTTTGATATATGATTCAACTATGGCGCCGTGCAAGGTTCAGAGCTCTAACAGTCATATGGAAACCATTGCTTGATTCCTTCAACATCTGGAAACATTGAACACATTCTGGATCTATTATGTCAAATTGTGCGACAAAGAAATCCTCTAAAACTTCTTATTCCACGGATGCACATTCGGAATTCCCTGACTGTTCACTGTACAATGGCGGCTACGTTCGAGAGCATTTGACGGCGTCATTGCTAGAGCAGTGTGGCAATGCACGTTCATAGCAACCACAACAAGTGAATAAAATACTCTACGGTCTAATCAGATTAATTTAATTTAATTTAAAATCTATCAATTACCGTTCGTTTTATATTTTCAAAAATTACACTTTTATATGTAGATTTGCTGAAATTATAATATCCTAGCAACCACGGCTACTATAGTAACCATCAAAGCGACAGACTTCGACTAATTTTCATTCTCACAACATTTTAACGTTTTATCTTACGTAAATACAAGGTTTAACGTGCTCCATATAATATGTCATAACCAAAGTGGCTCTATACATCACGGGGGGCCGCGAAGGCCAAGTGGTTAAAGCGTTTGACATTCGGCTACCACTAGCCCTCCACCACTAGGTCGTACTTTCGAGGACTATGTGGGGCAGTCGCCAGGGATTTACCCAAGGTAATTTATCAATTCTTCTGTTTCTCCGGTATTTATATATTCATCACCTTCGGGCATTTCACCATGTGTCGGACGTATCATCATGCGGGTCTTTTTCAGTGGAACTGAGACTTCAGATTCAGGGAAACCCTTCCAAGAAACATGACTTTCAGATCCAGTGTTCCAATATTCGGTGGTGTAATTTCCATTCAAATTGGTATGATGATAAGACGAGTACCACCACGCTCCGAGCGAGGAACTGGCACAGTGTGCCGATCTCCCCTCGTCTGTCGTAGAGAACCACTCCCCATTATGATATTCCATTGCGTCATCTGTAAAGTGACATACACACATTGACAATAATCCACAACCTCATCACACAAAAACCAAATTGTTATAAACAAAATGAAAAAAATATCAATCAAAACGGAAAATCATCACGGAACTTTAAAAAAAAAATATCGATACGTGCAAAAGTTTGTTTTTCTCTCATTTATTTCACTTTGTTTCAATATGTTTATGTTCTAAACGTTATGTTGGTAACCAAAGGATGTGTATCAAACACGTGAATTAAACTACCTAACACTGACAAATGATATAAAATATCAAAAATGTTTTGATTCAAAGAAGAAAGCTTTGTATGTTGGTCAATATGACGGGAAAGGATACAGCAACAGAATCGGAACACGACAGGTAAACAAATGACGTCGAAAAAATAAAAGGACAAAAAGTCGTAAATAAAGTTACATGATATCGCACTTTGTCATGTATAGACGTGATTTAACGTTACCTTATCTGTATAGTATCTATAGTATCTGTCATTCTACATTTACAGATAAAAACGAGTTCACAAATAGTGGGATGTCTCGTTCCGTCGACTGCATAGGGGATATATAAAAAATGTATTCACCAAACAGAGGGATCTATCGTTCCGTCACCTATATATGTGTTATATGTTTGATAGATAGACGTGTTATTCATTCTATCACACAAAACGATTTCTGAATGACATAACGAAATAAGAACGACAAGAGTTATATCCCCTTCTCCGAGATAACGTAGTTGCGAAAAATAATAATAAATATTACAAAACTTATAAATGGTGCACCATTGTACTATAATTATTATTCTTTTTCATTTGAAATTGAAAAAAAACCTTATACTATAACATTGCTATATTAGATACGCAATCGACTCGCAATCGGTTCCTCGTGGTCACGAACTTTCTAACAACATCAATTTGCACATTCAACTCGAGAGAACTTTGTAATGACACAGGACACTTCATCAACCAACTTATCATCATTTACATCTGCAGGTGTTTTGGCAAACAGCACATTAAACGGGTGTACATTGAACTTCAAATGAGCTCTATGTCTACTGCCAATGGGTGATCGGCTGACGAGTGTCATGGATGGTTACTATGGTGACCGATGATTTGAAAAAGTGCGGACATAAACTTTTTTAAATATATAATATGCGGTGTTCAATGCAAGATAACATCGAATAAGAACAACTTTAAAAAATGAAAGGAATATCAAGTGTTGATTATTATTAGATTCTAGATATACATTTTCGTTTTAACAAAATCAGCTGATCTGCGGAAATCGATCATTTGAAGTGTGTGTGTAGACTGAAGTTCTGGCTCTTCCTTTTTATGGTTTTCTGTCCGATACTTATATTAAAATATTCAATTTACAAAAACTTTTTTATATTAGTTCATCGTAACGTAAATATATGACTTGAATGCATTTTTTTCATGTATATTGCCGCATGGTACATGAAAACATCCCATATTCAATCACTATACAAACATCTTTTTCGTGGTTCTTTGACCCATTTCATTGATACTGGGTTGCGATATTAATAAGTGTCAACTTTACAATACCAAGTTTAAACCTGTTGAAGGGGATATGACTTAGGCAGTGTAAATCTCAGCTAGAATCACCAATCAAGAAATAAAATTACTCAACCTGGTCACGATTGGATTAACCTAAGCCAGAATATATATTATTATTATGTTTTGAGTCAAAGGCAGGGGTTGTCACGTACACTGGTGACACCCCCTGAGATCCGCCTCTGATATCCACATGTATTGTACAAAGGCTTAGGGGAGATAACTTACGCGAAACGTTTCCAGAGAATCCAGTAACAGACAGTCTGTAGCTGTCACTCTCACCAGCAATTTTGAAGTCGGAGTACTCGGCGAAAGCAGTGATGTTGGTGAATGTCTCTAATTCTATTCTTAGAACACTTCCAGTCTGTGTCAGGGCATGTATGGCGTCATTACCTATTAACGTACACAGTTAAAATAACGTATATTCTATTTGAAAATGGTATGAGTATACATAGATATACATAGTACGATAACAAAGTCTCCGTCTGACTTCTGATAACAGGTATATATGATGCGGATACCTCGCACCTTCCAGGAAGATGAGTTGACGAGCGATGTTAATAAATACGCCCTATTCATAGATTAAAGTCAATATTTTGTATATAGCATGAGGACAGTGTTCATTGTTATCGTCTGTGAAACATTATAGTTACTGAAAATGAAGCTTGTCAGATTCGGGACCCAACTTATTCGCCACCCGTACAAAAACTTAACAAGATAACCTAATGTTGATTGATACGTCTAAGTAATAGGTTTCTTCTTTGGTTCTAATCGTTTATAATATATTGACCACATATTGACAAATTAGTAGGCACATGTTATCTTTCTCAAACATATCTAAGTTACACAGGCGAAGTGGCTATCGTTAGTTATTGTTTCCACATTTGGTTACCTCGTTACATATTCTACCATAATGCATTCGCATACGTCCATTATTTCTTAAATTAAGGCAGAAAGATCTTACCTATCCAGAACTCGCCGTTCAAATCTCCAAAACCCTTCTTATAATTGGCCCATTTTCTCTTGAAGTCCTCACTGCCGTCATACCGGTTCTGAATGACCTGAAACACAGTTTTATCAAATCACGATACATTATGTAACGCTAAACAGGGTTTATTCTGCATGTTTTGGAACACTGAATTATTTTCTTAAAACTTAAAGTATCAGCAATGAGTTATAAGTGGACGAAATAACTTGAAGGAACAACACATTTACTTTGGAAGGATTTCTGCAACGACAAAACTTAACTTTGAATAGGTGATTTCTTAGATAGTATTTCTGCAATTAGTTTTCGATCGGCAACAGCTAGTATGGCTATGTTTCCATTGCGGATAACAAGCAAAACCATGCCAAAATACCGCGTTTGTGGACGCAACAGTACCATGAAACGTTCATTTCGACGTTGGAACTTTCGTTACTGTTCATCTCCATCGGTCAGAGAAAATCGAAACTCCATTAGAACAGATCATGATTCCATTTACTTTACAGCAATCTGTGTCGTGCACAAGTCTAACCAATGTTGACCAAGTGTGATTGAAAAGGTGCAACAGACCCTGGATTGCCATCACAAAGCAGTCAAAGCGATGTACAACTGAGAAACGTTGAGCCTTCTAATAGCTCCTTGTCTCTTTTACTGTCTTCTTTCGACAGTCTTGGAATAGCTTAACTACGTATCTGTTACGTAACCTCTGGGTTACTTACATGGTTTATATATATTTATGTATACTCTCTGCATAACAACTAATATGTTCTTATTCATGTAAAAATGAGCAGCACGTTCTGTGTTGCAAACTTTGCGGTAGCCGCTAAGCCGTATATCATGAATCAACTCAAAGAAAAGAAGGATTGTTAGTCAGCAAACGTTACCACATAGCGGTAACATAATCAACAGTCACCTGTGTATGTGTTAAGCTCATCTTTTAAACACCATTGGATACTTTTCCAAAATATCCAAATTTAAGATCAAAGATGAATATAATTCTAAAAAAAACCATAATTAGCATAAAACGGTAATGTTATTTACTTACTGTCCATGGCCCGCCGAACGTCTCCATGTCACTGTACACTTCGAAGCTCTCCCCGGACGTAAGGGCGATTCGGTACACTCCAGAAGGCGAGAAAAGTTCAATATCTGAACAGCCTTGATGGACTAAGAGACAATCAAATGAAACAATCATCACATAGATTAGCATGTATCATTAAAGTAATTACTGTACTATGTAAACAGCAATGTGGTGTTGGTGACTTCGTGGTGAATACAATTGATCATTCTTTCAAGGAGAGTACTGAGGATATAGTCAGCCCTACACATAATTAGGTCTGGTGTAGAGAGAGATAGTTAAACCCTCAGGATGGGTATTTTTGGGTTCAGTACCGTTGCTTTTTGATACAGTAGTTATAAATCATTTTGTTTAACCATCATTAGGGATCCCCGTCCCAGCCAGAGCAAAACACTAAAGAATTCCACTGTCGTTTTTCAGTGTTAGAGTCACCTGCCCCTGACTACCATTTCGACAATGTTGTTATCTTCCCTTGAATAGATTTCGTTTGAATAACGTTTCGACTAGAGCTGTGTCCCTTGCGTTGAAAATCTCCAATCGCGAAAGTGGGGGCAAAAAAAACTGTCGTAACGATGTAAACAACGTCGTGGCAGTGATGGCCGACATGCAAGCCCGACGTAAAATCGGCCGTTTTAAATGTAAACTAAATGCATTAACTGACAATAACAACAACAACGATGTCCAATATCAACTGCTAGACCACGACTATGCGACGAAACAAAGTGACACTCGTTCACACATTGAAGAGACGCTGGCTACTGAGGCCCCTACTAAGCTTACTGACAATTTTACTGATGAGCCGGCACCGACGTCCGACGAGGATCCTGCCCGTACTAGTGATCACGAATACGTTAATAACATTTTAACCTTGTCTCAGGGTAGACGAGTGGTTGTACTCGCGATGTTATCTGAATACCTGGACCAGAAGGTTGTAAGGAAAGGTTTATTTTTTATATTACATACAACAGTGTTATTTTTACAATGTGATATTTGTATACCACAATATCGTATGCTGTTATTTGTACATAATGTAAAACTTAATTATTGTTTAATAGTGTGATATTTGTTAAACCACAATGTATGTTGTTTTCTGTTTATACTGACAAAGTTTATTGCTATAAAGTGGGATATATTTTATATCACAATATGGTATGTTGTATGTTGTACATAATGTAAAAGTTTATTACATGTATTGTTGCATAGTGTGATATTTGTTTAACCACAATATATGTTGTTATCTGTATATATACTGACAAAGTTTATTATTGCTATAAAGTGTGATATATTTTATATCACAATATGGTATGTTGTTATCTGTACATAATGTGAAAGTTTATTATTGTTTTGTTCAGAATGTAAAAGTTTATTATTGTTGTATATAGAGAAATTTGTCTATCTCATAACATAGTATGTTATTTGGACATTATGTAGAAATTTATTATTGTTGGGTAAAGTATGTGAAACTTTGTTATTGTTGTTCAATGTGACATTTTTGCTATGACACAGTAAAGTACATTGTTTTTTGTAATGTTATTCATACACAAATTACATTTGAAATAATTTATTGGTTGGTAATGTCTACTGTATTTTATTCCTATATAAAAAGTGCTATATTGTATCTTGTAAATTGTATATATGACTTTTTGGATATAGAGTTTTATTTTTCGTAGGAATAGCCATTACCTATCTTGTAATTTATAAAAGTGTGATAACTTTCTTTTAAGAGACTTATATAATTTTACATTAATATGTTTTATACATCACAAACAAATGTAAGAGTTGTCTCTCTTTTTTTTATATATTTTTTTTTGTATTATAAATAAGTCCGCAAGATATTTTTTGTCACCTATATTTTCTTTTCGTTGTCCTAAACGTGTTGCATTGGCACTCGGAATTTTATTGATTCATGTAATGGGCATTTTTGATTGTTTTAGTATTATTGTTAGAAAATTACTCATTTTTTTGTGTTTTATTCATCAGTATCGACATTGATATTATATTTTATGTGTTATATTTCTAATAAACCATTGTTGCACCAAATAAAATGTATTTTGATTCATTTTGTTCCATTGAAAAAAAAATCAAAAAAAAATCGAAAGGACCTGTTACAGGAACAAAAGAATTTTGCCCACAAAGCAATTTAACCATTACTGGGTTATATGTGTAGCTCCTTAAGACATGACCCATGAGATATGTTTTTTTAATTTAAAAGGTCCCCATGGCCTGTGCTATGAACTATTTAGTGCCGCCTTCCAAAGGTGTACGACAGGGTTCACGTTTTTGTCCAAAAAACTATCAAAACAATATTTTAAGCTATCAAATAATATTATATTATTTAAAGTAGGATCTGCTGCAAATTATGAACTCAAATATGTAACAAAACGTTGCATACAAAAAAATGTTACAAAATCTTAAACTCTAAAAATGTTGGTATTTTCATACCCTTTTTTGCTACATCGATTGTTTTACGGAAGTAACACACCAATTTCCGGTTCTTGTACACCAAAAATCTGTTAATATTATTTGGTACATTATGTTATGTTGAGATACTATAGTGAAAAATTCAGAAAATTTGAGAACCGGTAAATTTGTCATATAAATGTCAAATTGTAGCAACGTCTATTTCCAAATAAAATCCAACAACCTTATGACTATAGTCATGTTTGATCCTTTAACAATACGTCGCACCAATTTATTATCGCAACTGATCAAATTTTCATCAATAAGGTCTGCTGCTTATGATGAGCCCAACTATAAAGCTAGATGTTACAAAATAAAAAAAAAGTTATGCAGTCCATCACACATAAAAGTTTAGTATGTTATGTACATTTTTAGTTGTTTCGCATCTTTACGGAATTGATAGACACATTTTCGGTTTTTGTACACCAACATACTGGATATTATTTGGCACATTATGTTGACTGACGATAGTAGAAATTTTGAAAAAATCGGTATTTGGTAGATGTGTCATCTTAAGGTTAATATGGTGTATGACCAATGTCAAAATAAATCTTCAATAACTACAGGTCAATGCAAGTATTTCATAATTAACCCAAAATCATTCCAATATACGATCAAGGTGGATGATATGGTTTATAGTAGAGTATGACTGTTTAACTAAACTAGATAGTTAAAGGGGAGCATACATCAAAAGGAAGGCAATTTGTCAGAACATTTGGTGTACCAGTATAATATGTTGAAGCTATGTTAATGCATAACATTGATTCTTTTTAGGAGAGTTATAGTTTCCAATTCATGGATTGTTGTATTCACTTTTTTGTGTTTTTTAATTTGACAACACAAAGTCAAAATTGATTATTTGAAACAATTGTTGTAGCAAAAAAGTGTATGAAAATACCAACATTTTTAGAGTTTAGGAATTTGTAACATTTTAATATGCAATGTTTTGTTACATATTTGAGTTCATAATTTGCAGTAGATCCAACTTTAAGTAATATAATATTAGTTGATAGCGTAAAATATTGTTTTAATAGTTTTTTTCGACAAAAAAGTGAACCCTGGAAGGCGGCAATAAATAGTTTATAGAACAGGCTCTGGTGACCTTTTAATTTAAAAAAAAAATATCTCATGGGTCGTGTCTTAGGGAGATACACATATAACCCAGTAATGGTTAAATTGCTTTGTGGGCAAAATTCTTTTGTTCCTGTAACAGGTCCTTTCATAATATCCCAAAAAATCTGAAAAAACTACCGCAAGGTATGGGGTTTTGTTCAGAAAAGATTTGGTTATGCAATAGCGATGCTGTAGAAAAAACCCACAATGCCTCATTACATTTTTAGGCGGAGGGACGGGGATCCTTAACATGTATACGGTGTTTGCCTCTATTCTGGCCAACCTTTTGTTTTCAAGCGTGTCTGAATTTAGAGAAAATTGTGACCACATTGTTCATAGATATCATCCAGAGCTTAACATCAGGCCATTTACTACACTCGTTATTTAGAACATCACCACCAAGGACGGTTTACTACTAAGCTGTACGGTAGTTGCATCCTAACTGCTTACATGTCAAAGCTGATTCGACTAATCAGAGCTTGCTCCTAATGTCATGATTTCCGTGATAGTTGTTGTCTAATGACGGGAAGTTGACCTTATAAAACCTTCGTTTCAGTGATCGACAAACGGTTCGAATCTCTGTACCATACAATGCACCGAAATCAGTTCCTAGCACAAACGGTATATTTTTCCATTTTATACAAATGTACAACAACAACCTACGATTGGAAGATTTCGTCCTAACTGGACCTTTGGTGCCTACACTGTAGTTGGTATATCACATACCATTTGTTTTTAATGTAAGAACAATGGGCTGGTATCTGTAAAGAAAATACGTTTTCCTTAGCGATGTACAGTATTTGTCATGCACAACGTTATACGTGTGTATAGAGGCGGTCACTAAATACTTTGAGTTAAAACAACGCATTCGCTCGCAATTTTACATATTTATGTTTTTTTTATTTCTAAAATGACAACTGGCGTACCAGCGCACAAGGCAAATCACTTTAAAATACCGAAAAAAAAGGAAAACGGGTGATAAATTAAATGTACTGTGGGATATATAAACGAACTACTCACCTCCGTGGAAATTGCGAACTTGCTTAATTTAAGATCGTATTAACATTCCTCCTAAAAAAACCTCTGTAATGGTTTCAAACTGTTAATGTAACAATGTAACAAGAATTTAAATCTTTCTTTTCCACTGCTTCCCTTCCCATGGTATCTATCTGACACTAGTTTAGCTTAATTTACTTTATTAATATCTTTCCTACGTATTGACGAAAACTTTTCAAAGAATTACACAACAAAAATGTGTGTATAATTCACGATTTACTAATAGTCTTCAAGCGATACAAAAGCTTTAAATATTACGTTCATCTCAATAAACAACAAAGACTACTTACGTGCTGAAAAATACGATGTAGACGTCAATCCGCCACTAATCTGTCCCGTGAACCTAATTAAGTAGGTATCACATTTGTTTTCAGCTTCGGTGTACGCAAACGACAAACACGCATTTTTTTACAAACGTTTGCACACTGCCAAAGAGTTTGAATCCCAGTGTTTGAACTTATTTTCAAACCAGTGTACATCTCGATTGCAACATGCATTTTCCTTTTGTAGATGTTTCTGTTCATTGCATTGGAAACTCCTAAGATATTTACACCTAGAGCAAGAAATATTATCAAGTTAATTCCCATTGTCAAATCCGACTTGTTTTATCTCATGTTCGATCAAAAAATCCAAAATACTTTTGAAACACAACTTCATGAAGATTGAAATAAATTGTTTTAATTCACGTGAACCTTATAGCTTTGTTTCCCCAATCCGTGTCTAAGTCTAAGGCAGATCACATTACCTTTGGCTAGACGCTTTTTTTTCTATCGACAGCTACATACCTATTTATCTATTCAGACCCTTAGCGTGAGTGGTATACCATTAATTAATTATACACGTTATTTTTTATTTCTACCTACCTAGAGCTCTTAGTGCCTGAATGACCTTTATGCTTGTACAATAGTTGTTTCGTTATTACCAATGTTTTTTACGTTTTAGTGACTTTATTCTAAAAGTAAAGACAAAGAAACACTTATTGATGTTGTATAGAAATAGAATGATTCTGTAAGAAAAACAAAATAATTATTACATAGAAAAAACATATTTAAGACTTATGATATATTTCATTTAGCTGTGCAATAGGATTTAAGTGACGAGTTTGCTTCTTACTTGACTACAGAATGTTTGTGTTTCTACCAAATAAAACATGGTCGTTAAATGATTTGTCTACGTGTACTAGCAAAACGTTAATGTCAAAAATACCGACATGCCTCAATTCACTTGTATTGGATTCCAAAACTTCCAAAACTTTCTACACTAGTATGACTTGGAATAATGTAATAGAGCCATTAACGGAATACTGATCTGAAAAACTCAAACGACATTTAGAACCCTATATATACAATTGCATTTCGTAATCAAAGAAAAGAAACGTCTTCATTTTTTTTCTTATATAAGAGCTTTCTTTTCCGGTAAAGATGAACGGTAAAATAAGCATATACATAATGTAGTTGTAAACTGTTTTGGATCATATTTTGTAAACATTAAGACTACCCAAACAAAGACTGAGATGACATATACTGAGGATTAAATTGAAAGAATTATTGACAAATTTGCGGTGACAGTATGTTTTCAAGGCTGCTGTCGTTAATTTGTTATTTCTGATTTTATACGAGACTGAATTTACTGAAAATAAAGTTAGAACAGATAATAATGACCCTGCTAACATGACAATCAGAGACAGTAAAAGAACGGACTAGGATTTATTCAAAATGATTATTCCTCCAGTTTGGACAGAGAAGTACAGCATATAAAATGGTCAAAAAACAGCTGGTTATAACTGTTTAACTCCCGTAATTGCTACATTGTAGATATGTTTTCGGAATCCTGAAGACGGCCGCTTACTCATTGAAAGAACAGAAAATAAGGAGGAATTTCATTAAGGTTTTCGACATTCAGCTTGAGATTGCAACCCATGTATTTGTTTTGGGATAGTTAGGTTTTTTTTTCATTATTTCGAGAGAAAAATAATGTTATCTGCGTATTTTAATCAGTACCGCTAGCATTCTGTAGTAAATAGGATATACATCTGATTGAACCATACAGTAATGAACAGTTAGGGTACCAACATAGTAAATTTAGTCTATAAGGTTATATCATTGTCTTAGATAAAAACTCAAATCTAATAAAACAATTTTTGCTCCAGGTAGAACTTGTTAAACAAACATACATTTATTTTCACTATTTTAATGACGTGCGTCATAAATGTTTGCACCTTTTTGTCGGGGAGGTGTGCTTTCCAGTTTCGTTTACACTTTTCCCGGTCTCAACTTGAGAATGTGACTTCCCATTGTTTACACCTGTTTGTCGGGGAGGCGTGCTGTCCAGTTTCGTTTACAGTTTTCCCGGTCTCACCTTGAAAATGTGACTTACTATTGTTTACACCTTTTTGTCGGGGGGGGGGGCTGTCCGGTTTCGTTTACACTTTTACCGGTCTCACCTTGATAATGTGACTTACCATTTTTTACACCTTTTTGTCGTGGAGGTGTGCTGTCCAGTTTAGTTAACACTTTTCCCGCTCTCACCGTGAGAATGTGACTTACCATTTTTTACACCTTTTTGTCGTGGAGGTGTGCTGTCCGGTTTCGTTTACACTTTTCACGGTCTCACCTTGAGAATGGGACTTAACATTGTTTACACCTTCTTGTCGGGGAGGTGTTCTGTCCAGTTTCGTTTCCACTTTTCCCGCTCTCCCCTTGAGAATGTGACGTAACATTGTTTAAACCTTTTTGTCGGGGGGGGGGGCTGTCCGGTTTCGTTTACACTTTTACCGGTCTCACCTTGAAAATGGGACTTACTATTGTTTACACCTTTTTGTCGTGGAGGTGTGCTGTCCGGTTTCGTTTACACTTTTCCCGCTCTCACCGTGAGAATGTGACTTAACGTTGATTAAACCTTTTTGACGGGGAGGTGTGCTGCCCAGTTTCGTTTACACTTTTCACGGTCTCACCTTGAGAATGTTACTTACCATTGTTTACACCTTTTTGTCGGGGAGGTGTGCTGTCCAGTTTCGTTTACATTTTTCCCGGTCTCACCTTGATAATGTGACTTAACATTGTTTACACCTTTTTGTCGGGGAGGTGTGCTGTCCAGTTTCGTTAACACTTTTCCCGCTCTCACCTTGAGAATGTGACTTACCATTTTTTACACCTTTTTGTCGGGGAGGTTGCTGTCCAGTTTCGTTAACACTTTTCCCGCTCTCACCTTGCGAATGTGACTTAACATTGATTAAACTTTTTTGTCGGGGAGGTGTGCTGTCCAGTTTCGTTTACACTTTTCCCGCTCTCACCTTGAGAATGTGACTTAACATTGTTTACACCTTTTTGTCGGGGATGTGTGCTGTCCAGTTTCGTTAACACTTTTCCTGCTCTCACCTTGAGAATGTGACTTAACATTGATTAAACCTTTTTGTCGGGGAGGTGTTCTGTCCAGTTTCGTTTACACTTTTCCCGGTCTCACCTTGAGAATGTGACTTAACATTGATTTAACCTTTTTGTCGGGGAGGTGTGCTGTCCAGTTTCGTTTAGACTTTTCCCGGTCTCACCTTGAGAATGTGACTTAACATTGTTTACACCTTTTTGTCGAGGAGGTGTGCTGTCCAGTTTCGTTTACACTTTTCCTGGTCTCACCTTGATAATGTGACTTAACATTGTTTACACCTTTTTGTCGAGGAGGTGTGCTGTCCAGTTTCGTTAACACTTTTCCCACTATCACCTTGAGAATGTGACTTAACATTGATTAAGACTTTTTTACTTTTTATTTGTTACAAAATCACGTTGTCTTTCTTTAATGATTGCTATTAGGATATCGCGAAGAAATATGTTAAATGTTTTTGCATACGCTCATTAGAGTGCCTTGTAGTTTTGTTGTCATTATCCTAGTTATCGGTGTGACATTACATGGATTTGACTATGCTTTACATGACGGGTGTCAAAAGACGCTTGTCTTACTCTCCTTGCACTTTTTCATGGTTTTCCGTTCAAATATTGTTGTGTTTTTTTTATAAATATTTCCACTATTTTTATTGGTTTCCTTTTCAAATTATGGTTTTGTTAACACTTCGGTAGTCTCTTGTTTCTTTCTGAACACCTTAATTTATCATTTATGTAAAGGGTTTGCGTGTATATGTATCCTATGTTCATTTGCCTCAGGCAAATCGATAATGAAATCGATGAACGGTTCTGTTTACTCAAGAAAATAAAAAAAACATTTGATCCCAGAGGGATGGAGAGAAAAAGGAACAAAGCTTTTACACTACAATAAAACGATGTTTAAAAGGCAAATGCTCAACTATCTAAAACACATGTTGCAATACTATATGAGAACATAATGAACTAACGTTTTATTTCTGCTTGTCTTGTATACCGTTCATACAGCCTGTTTCAATGTATCTCTGATCGCTGCATGGTCCATTGATTTTAAACACACTGAAGAACAGAATTAAAATAATAATTAATTGATAATAATATTATCGCTTCCATCTTGTTCAGTAAGGCTATACCTATTAACATGATATGAATATATTCTGTCGCTGAATAAAATATGTCCAGGGGCACGATTTTACTTGCGTATTATGTACTGCTTCAACAACTCATATTGCATTATTTATATCAAAGCAAAATGGTGTATGACTGATCAATCTATCTGTTGTGTGCTTTTAGGTGTGTACAACACACTTTGTACCTTTGTTTGTTTAGTCGCTATGTGTATCCAAGTCTACTAGGGTTATACATGTATAACGAGTGTTACAGATGGTAGGACTAATCCGTGGCCATTTAGCAGTACATTCCTACTTAAATGTTACAACTTGGATACAAACACCGAGTCACTGTTCAAACCTTTCACATTATATTAGCAAAATTAGCAGGAGATGTTTTTCTTCTTCCTAATGTCTCCCTTGACAATGCCTCACTTTTGGTCATTTGTGGAGCATTCGCCCACGTGAGGAAGGCTTTGGGTTCTGTCCCCTGGTCGAGACATACCAAAGTCTTTAAAAATGGTAGTTTCTACTCCTGCTTAACGCTCAGCAGATTAGGAGTGGGACGACTGGTTCGCCCGTTGTCAGTATAATGTGACCGATTGAGGCGTCCTGCTGGGTGACTTCGGCGGTATGTTTCAGTGAGGTAGCACTATAAAGTCGGCATCAGTTCCGGGCTATCACAAGGAGACTAACACGAACATATCGCAGCCTCCCAAAATACACACGCATACACTACACGCATGCATCTTGCACACAGGGGATGCCGTCCTAAAATGACCTTAGCTGTTAATAGGACGTTAAACAAAATAAAAGCAAACCAACCAAAATTTTGAAAGACCGCTTGAGAGAAAGAAAATAACCTAAATATCGCAAAAAACAATGGTCCTAACAGTGATCCACAACACTTCATCCAATCATGATACACATGTACATATTTTGAAGTTTCCGGGGGGAAAACAAACTTGAGAGAGGTTATGGTTTAAACGAACATTAAAATGATTTGAACAGGAAATATGGAACCAATCGCGATGACAGTCCAAAAAGGCATTGCCTTTTTTTGACGTTTAATCCATTGTCATGACCATTACCTCAATGGTACTATCTGGAAATGCTCAGATACCTTTCAATTAATAATTCATTGTGAGGAACCGAGATCGCGTCAAATGTGACAAGTGTACCACTCAGGTCGTGTTCAGCTCTGACGATTATACTTGTATCTGCATAATTATTAATGACATATTAATGTCCAAATTGATCAATGGCACTTGAGTATATAGAGCTGATAAGAAGCTATATGATCCGCGTGTACAAAATTACCACAATGCTGTATAATTGGGGATAGAATAATGTTGATACAGAACACACTTAAAATAAACTGACAAATTGATTTGATACCGTAGTATATTATCACAATAAGTTTGATAAACCTGAGACAAAATGAAAATATATTCAGAATCAGAAACCTCCGCTGTTACTCTTCTGATCTGTAAATATGATAGCACAATCCCTTGTTTTTGCACTGAATTACCATTTGTATAAATTGATAATATCACGATTCGTAATTGATAACAGAGAAAAAAGCACACCGATAATACAATGTATCAATAATACAATATATAAATCTATACAAAAACATGTTGTCCCTATAACAGTAGTGTTCATTGTCTTTTTGTAGAGTAACGCTTACTACGTTATCTAAACATCTACTTCTCTCGGTGGAGTCATTAGTGCTCTCGTGTAGCTATGTATGTAGACACACCGTACATCATATTGACCTTTTGGACAAAACACCCTCGCAAAGAAATAGTTTCATTGCACTTTTATGAATAACATGTAACTTTTAGTCGAAGAAGCGTTTGCGAGTGATTTGGTGGGGAAATATTTAAACATAACTGTTGTGAGTCACTTAACAGAGCTTCCAGAGATAATTCGGTATTCCAAATAATCCGAATTTCAACACATGCTACGTTAAACGGCGTTGAAAGTTTCGGAACCCATTGTAGTTTTCATCGATTTGATCATTGGATAAAACAGTGGATATCGAACGTTATTTCAAGTATGACTTTAGTTAGAGTCAATCATACCCGAGGTTGTAGAATTTGGGACAGAACCGAGGCTTTGCCAAGGTTTTGGTGCTGAATTTTGCACCACCTGGTATACTATTTATATTTCCAACATTCCTACATGTGACTCTATTAGTAATATTTGAAGTCATGAAATAATACCCATGATAGCGTCTAGAAAGCGACAACTTACAACCCAAGACCGGAGAGACAAATCGAGTACAGTATCAGATGTATAAGCCAGCACTTCAGATGTAGATAATTAAGAGGCATATAATCCTTATCGAAAAATGCGGTAAAGATAATAGACAGCTTTTAAGACTCACCAAAACCTGATGAGACAGAAAGGTGAAATTATCCTACCAAGCTGTAATTCTGAAAAAGACTTAGCAAGAAAGTTCAGTGATTACTTTCTGGATAAAATCAGCTCAATCAGGGAAAATATTGCCGAAGTGAAAGCCTCTGCTGACATTGACATCTCCGTCATGACTGCATTTGATGGAAAACCATTGGCAAAGCTCTCACCAACAACCCAGGACGAGTTGCGCAACATTATCATGACCTCGCAATCGAAGTCGTGTGAGCTTGATCCACTGCCTACCGACCTATTTAAGCAATGCATTGAAGCACTGCTTCCTTTGATTACCTCAATCATGTACAAATCATTGGCTGAGTCAAAGGTTCCATTATGTTTCAAGAAGGCACATGTCAGACCATTGTTAAAGAAGCCTGGAATGGACAAGGAGAAGTTGAAAAACTACCGGCAAGTTTCAAATCTTCCTTTTCTGTCTAAGATCTTGGAAAAGGTTGTGTCCCGGCGTTAGAAGTTCCTCTCCATGCAAACAGTCTCCATGACAACATGCAGTCGGCCTACCGCATGGGACACTCTACTGAGACGGCCCTCCTACGTGTTCATAATGATATAGCTTCTGCATTGTCAGCTACAGTTGACGTCATCGACCATGGCATACTTTATAAACGTCTGGAATACTCTTTTTGAGTG